GCTGGATGAGTGCCCGCCCAAGCCGGCCGTCGCGGGCGGTGTGGATGCTTGTGTTGGGTAGAGCTGCTCGGCGACGTAGGCGATTGTGCGTTCGAAGGGGACTTTTCGCCGAGAGGGATCAAGGGTAACAATATCGGTCTTTGTTCCGACGACGTGAATCACAATGGGGTCGTCTTCGACAAGGTTCTTCTTCAATTCCGCGAGCCAGCCGGTCATTTCTTGGAAGCTTTGCTCGTCGGTGATGTCGTAACAGAGAAGGCAGGCATTGGCACCGCGGTAGTAGAGGCGAGAGATGCTCCGGAAACGTTCCTGGCCGGCTGTGTCCCAGATCTGGAGTCGAACGATGGTATCGGAGGCGCTGTCGAGAACGCGTTTGGTCACAAAGGAGGCGCCCACAGTCGAGGCTGTAGCGGAGGGGTTGAAATCGTTCTTGACATAGCGATCGACAAGCGAGGTTTTGCCGACGCCTGGACGGAGTTAGTCGGGTGGAGTCTGAGAGAGGAGAGGAGGGAGAACCTGACCTTGGGCGCCGAGGACAACAATTTTAGCCTCGAGAGAAGAGCTCATGGCGGGGTAGAGGCTAAGGTGGGGTACCCGGAGAGCTGGATTTGCATGTTCCAGCGGATAAATTATCGCTCGGACGGATGAGGGATTCAGGAGGCGTTGAGGACGGGACTTGGTGAACAAAAGAAAAGAAAGGTTTGGAACAAAGGCGAGGAGAGGGTTGGGGACGTGGGGAGAAAGACAAGAGGGAAGGAAGGGAAAAAAGGGAGAGAGAGAGAGAAGGGCAGCGTTGAAAGAGCGAAAACAAGAAAAGGGAGGGCGCGGGAACGAGGCTCAAGGAAGAAACAAGTTAACCACAGCCATCCAGCCAAAGCGATGGATTCAAGCCGGCATGACAGGGCAGTGCGCGGATCAGCCGATCACTTACGAACCTCCACCCGATCAGGTGTTCGTCTTATTTGTTTGTCGAGTGAATGTCTCTGAGGGTTAGTGAGGAGAACGAGGACAGGTAGATGGGATGGAAGAGGATGAAGGAGGAATCAAATCAGTCACCGATGAAGAATGATTCAGCCCCAGCTGAATCATTCAGCATGATCCTTCTTGGCCCCTTACGTGCTTCCTGGCCTAGCCCCATTGTTTCAGCCACAGACTCTATCAACAGGCTGAAAATCTTATAGCACTTAGCAGTACTTTCTATCTCGTGTTCGTGCTCTCTCACGGAAACCCCGGCTGTCAGGATGTCAGCCATGCATTACCTGGGTTATGAAAGGTTGGGTTGAAGCAGGTCTTGCTGTCCACCGACGCAATATATTTTCCTTTCAGCCGCAAGTCCCAAGAGTCTGGGTCTATTCAGGGCACAGGCCACTGGATGGTACCACCGTCCCTAAAGCATTGATAGTGCACAATGGTGGCTTCAGTATCTCTTTAGTTCGTCCGGCCTAAGTAATCAGCGACCGTGCACTTGGTCCTCCGCTGACGGGCGGCACCTCGCAACTCGCAATATCCCTATGGGACCCCATGCGATGATTCCGCTTCATACGTATTGCAGTTGATTGAATAAATCGAATGGCAGCAAATGAACTTGGTCGATTTGTCTGTCATTTGCTGGATGTCTCTTACTGGCGCTGCTAATATCAGTCTGGATGGGAACATCGGGCGTGGCATTGAATCAGCGAATCATATCATAATCATATGAAGTTCTTTGCTTTAGATGTCTTCCACTTGCTGGGTAATATATAAAAGCGACCTAAGGATATCGTATAACCGCAGGCTTATGACTTCTGGTCGTCAGCACTCGAAGCAATACATCAGATGGCGTTAAAGTATCTTACCTGAAAAGGTATTTACAAAACAAACATAACATCTGTTGTAATAAAATAAATGAGCTATATTTTCTCAACTAGTACTCTTCCCCGTATAATATTGAGTTGTGACGAAACAAGAGTGGTGCCATAAGGTGTGCTTTGATACTAATATTGCCTGATAGGGAGACCTCATATAATCAACAGCACTACCCTATGGAGCACTTACTGTATCTATGCAATGTAAAACAATTCCATTCTTAACTCCGAGCATAGATAGTACTATTCAAGTATGTATGTTCCGAATCGCTTTTGGCTCGTTAAATCCCTACTATGTTAGGCAACCTCAATACCTCGCTGACCTATGACCCACCTCTCGCAAAACAAAGCCAAATGGCAGTTAAGCTCAATTGACCCGACTGATGCATACGATCGCGCATCTATTTCTGAAGATATATCAATTGAGTGGATCATCAATTGGCTAGTATCGGTTTTTCCTAGTTCCATTTGAGACCATGGACAGTGGAAACGACTGAGGCTAATATGGGATTGATCCCCGCATGCATTGTTAACAACCCAGGAATAATAGCACCAAGACAATTTCTCCAGAAAAATAATCCAGTAACTTTTCTTTTCTTAGTTGATCCATATTCGATTGGAAGCGTAGCGAGTATTTAGTAACCGTTAGAGACCGATAGTTAAAATAATCCAGTTGCTCCATGTTGAGACGGAGCCAATGATGCCGCTCCGATGCGGAAAATATATCCCTCACAATACATTAAGTTATCATGTTGCCCAGCTAAGTAGAACCACAATGTGTTCTGGTTTGAATTCCATACAATTGACATTAATTTGTTCCAGTCCCGCTATTACTTACTACTAATATTCTCTTCCAGTTATATATAAATACAATAAATTGGCTGAATGAGCTCGAAAGCTAAATACTCATAAACCAAAAAGCATGGACGCTGTCATACCGAATAACATCACATGCTCATGGTCGGGGTAAATAATCGCACGATAAGCAGTGTCACCACGCGACAATAGTATGTACCACAGACCATAAGTACCACCGCAGTACCCAGCCTGATTGAACATAGCCCCAAGGGATGATTGTTAATAATGCGAATTGATGCCATTGGATTTCGGAATTGGCTACTGCGCTCATTCTACACAAACCTGAGAGGGGTGTCTTATCCTGCCAGTGTGTAGATAGACGCTCGTATAGACGCTCGTATACTAGCACAGTTTAATATTTTTTCCATGTTATAGGCCACGGTAGATATAGTGGACAATTCTGCAGACAAAAATCCGTCCACTGATGCATGGACGAATAGACGGATTGACAGGGATCATGTGGGGGTGAACTTGAATCTGATTGATTGATTGATTGATTGATTGATACGCTTATGTGCTGAGACAGCTACTGAGTTACGTACCTCAGTAAGCTTCTAGGTTAAGCTCTTCGCTACTACGCCGTAAGTGATATATCATTTGCATGCAATCCTTCGGGCGGAAAGGGTGGTTTTCGAATCTGGGGTTGTCCTCTGAGTTGTAATTGCCTGAGGCGCAATCAGAACAGCCCAATGCGATATTCATCATCCCTCAAGTATGAGCAATTGCATATGGTAAAAGAAAAGAAAATAAAAGACAGTGGGGTAATTGATTGCTCGTCAATGAATTGACCCTGCAGCTGGTCGATGCTTGGTTGCTTGGCATATTCAGATCCTTGCCTTGTATGGCAATATTGTCGGCAACGACAAAGACAACAAAACCCACTCATTGTTTTGTTGTGAGGTCAGACATTGATCTTTGATTCAGTTTTCTTTGGTTGCAGGGTAATATAGACATCTACCATGATGTCAGTCATACTCTTAATTTGTTTAGTGAGAAGGTCAGTTTTAACACTGCTTTGCACCGCTCTCACTGGTAATCACAGTGTAAATTACAGGGTAAAAACAGCGAATAACGGCAGCAACACAGCCCTGCTGACGGGTGGATATTCAGGGTTCAGCCGGGAGAAGCCAGCTGGCCAGTAGGACTGGCCCGAGTGGTGGGACGTTTGAGATAGACTCGGTGGCTGTGGATCGTAACCCGATTAGAGACGGGATGGGATCGGACTTGCCTGCCACTGTCACTGTCACAATGTTTTCTGACAGCGCAAGTTGCCGGACCAGGATGAATTTCACTGGTTGCGACAGGAGATGATCCTCATTGGAGGCGGGAATTATGGTAGTATTCTTCACGGAGAAACTTTGCTGTCTTTGCGACCGGTCTAATGCATGGAGAGTTGGTTAGTATCCTCTGGACCCTGGCGATAATGTGATTGTCGCACGGAGCCCGACGGATTATTTTTCTGCTGGGGGGGATCGGCAGTGGATGGGGAGAGGAGAGAAAAGGAAAGGAAAAAATTCATGCGAAACCTTTAGCGAAGATAATGGAAAATCCATGCGAGGGATCCATCTGAATCAGGGACTGTATTGTACTTCTACTTTAAGTAAACATCTGAAACTAGCAAGAGGCTGATGTTTTTATCTGCTTCCTTCATACTATGGTTTAAAATAGGACGAGGGCGAGAACAATTACTATTTAGACACTACTCCATCCTCGACAAAGCTTGATCCTTCGCGCCCGAGTCTAGAATGATGACCGAGACTATTTATACCGACAGGTCTGAAACACTTTTGGGATTATTGTTTTACCCGACTCCATAGTAATCTCGCAGTTCATATCCCCGAGTAGGAAGAAGTACAGTACTAGTCTAACTGCCTGCTATTTAGGCTACCATGTAAGTAACAAGCCTTGTTCACATACCGTATGTAAGTAAAATATCACCGGTAATTCAAGTAAATGGTAAGAATCCCTGATGATCCCGCCCGGAAACCCACCAATCGGCGCCAAGCGCCCCCCCCAGGGAGATAAGCCTCCAGCGGGCGGGCGTCCGTCAGAGTCAGCAAAGTCGCTGCCCGTTAACTAATTCAGAGTTTATGAAATTATTTGCATTTCAATTTTCCATCGTTCGGCTGTTCTTTCCTGTACTTCCCATAACCCCGTGCCTGGTAACAATCCCGTCGTCGTCTGGTTAATTTCACCAAACCAACCTAAACACTAAACCCCTTCGTCGGATCTTTCTTCCCACGTTGCCTGTTTCTCCTTCTCTCTCGCTCTCTCTCGCTTTCGCTTTTCTCCTTCTTCCTCCCTCTCTCTCCCCCTTCCTTTCCTCCCTTCCAATCCCATTCGGTAGTCTCAGCCTGGGCTTTTCGCAGGCGCGTTATGAAATGAGACTATCCTACCGGATTGGTGCGGCTGCACTTATCATCCTCGCCATCATCCTCATTAAACGCCACCTCGATCTCGTTCAGGATGATGCGCGCGTTCAGTCCGGCTGGAGTTTCAGCTCCTTCTCCGCCGAATCTGCAGCGGATGGCAGCAGCAGCAGCAGCAATGTGAACAGTGGCAACGACGGGGCGTCGACTCCGAAGAACTCGAAACCAATTCTTACCGGCAACGACAAGAGCAACAGCAATGGCAAAACCAAAGGGTCCTCCGACGATTCGGCCGTCTCTCGGCCGCTCTACGAAACCACTCCCATTATCGTTCCGAATGATCGCGTTATCGTCATGGCAAAATTATCCACCGAGGACACCAGCTGGGTGAGCAATGATCTAGCAGAGTACGTATTCTCCTGAACCTCCACCCTCTCTCGAAATTAAGCCAAATCTCTAAACCAAAATGAATTACCAGATGGCGCAACGTCATTTATACCGTCGACGACGTAACCGCATCCCGACACACCCCCAAGAACAAAGGTCGCGAATCCCTCGCCTACCTACAATACATCGTGGACCACTACGACGACCTCCCCAGCACGATCGTCTTCATCCACAGCCACAAAGACGGCTGGCCCGGAGCCTGGCACACCGACACCATGGCCTACAGCAACGTGGATTCCATCCGAGCCTTACAGACCGACTTCGTGCAACGAAACGGCTACGTCAACCTCCGGTGCCAGCAGACGCCCGGCTGTCCCGATGAGATTCGTCCCTTCCGAGACCCCCCGCAATTCGGAAAGACGGCAGAGCGCGTGTACGCGCAGGCATGGGCGGAACTGTTCAACAACACCGACGTACCGGAAGTGGTTGGAGTAGCGTGCTGCTCGCAATTCGCTGTGTCGAGGGAACAGGTCCTCAAGCGGCCATTGGAGCAATACACTTGGTTCTACGACTGGGTGTTGAATACGGGGCTGTCGGATGATCTGAGTGCCCATGTGATGGAGTATACATGGCATATTATTTTTGGGAAGGATCCGGTCTAGTACGTCCCCTCCCCCCAACCCCTTTACTCTAAGATTATTGGAAAATGCATAAAACTAACAAGAAATATAGCTGCCCCGACGCCTATCAATGCTACCAAGACGTCTACGGCAATCCTTATTTCTGGTGATTTCCGTCTGAACTGTAAAGAATACCCCCTCTTGTTTCTCATGGCTTTGCGGGCTGCTTCATTATTTCCCTTTCTACATTGTAATCTTTTTTCTCTATTTCAATTTTGATTTCCATCTTTTGGCTCCGGATCTGACGACTCACGTGCGTAACTTTGGTTGTTATGCTTTGCTTGCTTTTTTTTTGGTCTCGAGGTGTTAGCTTGTACATGATTGGGAATTTCTTGGTTGAAAAAGTCGTCTCGTTGAGCAATATACATTATGTGGAATTATCATCTTTTACCGCTTCTTTTGAGTTATTCTGTCTGGATCGTAGGGTATATTCTATCCTCTGCATGCATTATGCAGAAGTCTTAGAACCATGAAAAAAGAAGAAAAGAGGTATCAGATGACTACTACTACTTACACTAACATCCACAAATCCAAAACTACATCTGCAGTATTAAAAACCTCCACAAAACAAGCAAAGCAAATAAATCTACCCCTAGTCTATCTTAAGATATCTACCAAGCCAACCGATCCAACACCCCACCAGGCCACCTCCTCACCCCGGCCTTACGCAATTCATCCAGAATAAGAATCCCAAGGCCAAAAGCAGCAGGCAGGAAATAATGTTCCACGGGGACACTACTCGTATCCAGCACCCGCTGCAACGGCGGGATATACAACCAGAAGACGGCCATGGCCAAAGCGAATAATATCGCTGGGAAGAGAAGCAGATTCTGGGTCTGTTTGTTGAAGGCTGGGGGGTGCGAGAAGATGGAGAGACGTCTGGTTCGGACGGCCATGAGGTTGAACCATTGCCTGTTTACATTTGATTATTGTTAGTGTGGGGGTGCCTTTGGATGGGAAGGGAAGTGAAGGGTATGCGTACATGACTACAAGGTTGATAAAGTACACGGAGCTTGCTTCGTTGAGTCGAGCATTGAGCCAGTCGGCGTCGATGTTGTTTGGGGTAGCGCCGAATTTGAACCAGAGGGCTGAGAAGGGGATCCCGTTGCGTTCGAGGTACCAGAAGGCCATGGCGAAGGAGGCGATGGTTTCGATCATGCCGAGGATGCCGTAGGCGTGGAAGATTAGTTTCCAGTTCACGAGACGGTTTTGTTTCGGCTTGCGGGGTGGGCGGAGGAGGACGTCGGCTTCGGGGGCTTCGTAGGCCAGGACGGTTGCGGCGGCGCAGTCGGTGAAGCAACTGCGTAGGAGTGTATGTGAGTAGGGGGGATGGGGGTGTGTGGAGGTGGTATGTGTGGGTGTTGTGCTTACCAGATGATTATCATCAGGAAGGAAGAGAGGACTTGAGGAAGACCGAATACGACGCTGGTGAACACGGGCCAGAACTCGGAAAAGGAACCGGCTGGGAGTAGATAGACGATGGTTTTCTTTAGGTTGTCGAAGACTACGCGGCCGTATTGCACTGCTTCGACGATGGCTGAGAAGGATTCCATCAATACCATGTCTGATGCTTCGATAGCTATGTCGGAGCCGCTTCCCAGAGCTATTCCGATGTCTGCTGCTTTGAGGGATGGTGCGTCGTTGACTCCGTCGCCGGTCATGCCGACAATTTCATCGCGAGCGCGGAATTCACGGACAATACGCAGTTTCTGCTCTGGAGTGGTGCGCCAGAAGACGATCTCTTGGTATTGACATAGCTGTTCCCACTGGTGGTCGTTCAAGCTCATGAGTTCAGCCCCGCTAAGTGTGATGGCGGTGGTAGATGGAGTACTAGGTGGCTTCTCATCGTAGTCGGGGAGCCGCTTCAAGGAGGAGGCAGTGTCAACTGGACCATGAGTGGTGACGATACCGCATTGTCGGGCGATGGCGAGAGCAGTGAGCCCATAATCACCAGTCACCTATGTGCGTGGTTAGTGGAGAACTCAACTTCCAGATGGAATACCTTACCATGAAGATGCGGACTCCCGCGCGCCTCAATGTTCTGACCACGTCTGGGATCTCCTCTCTCGGGGGATCAACGATGCCTACCAGGCCGACAAGAACCAAGCCCGTTTTTGCATGATTCATGACCTCGGATTCGAATTCTCTGGACGAAGGAAGAGGCATGATATCTGAAGCTGGAAGGACTTTACGTGCAAGCAGGATCACGCGTTTGCCTTCGCTGGACCACTGATCCTTGACATATTTGATGTGAGCCAGTATTCTTCCGTCCAGAGGCAGTACGCTTCCATCTGTGTCTACGATCTGTGTGCATCGCTCAATCAGAATGTCGGGTGCGCCCTTTATGGTAAGGAGACTGAGATGATTAGCACGGGGAGTGACTAGAGAAGGGGTGGACTAACGTATCGTTCCGCTTGAACTGAGCCGATTCAGCTGCGGACATTCCAAAACTCAATCCTGCCGATTCGACCAGACTGAAAGTCCTGATCATAAACTTATTTTTGCTGTTGAACGCTAGTTCGTATGTCTTCCGCCAAGTGCGCCGCAACTCTGCAACAGACCCAAGGCCTTCAGAGAACCTCAAGACGGCCTGGTCAGTTGCATCACCGTGGATTTCCCTCTCATGAAGGGGCTGGTTCATAGACGACGCATCGAACTCTGCTGCATTGCAGAGGCCAGCAATACCACGAAGCTGATGCATTCCAGTTTTCCTTCCCTTGATTACCATTTCGTCTCTGGCTAGCTCTGTGCTAAAACGAGACATTGAGAGAGCACAATCGGTGACAAACATCTTGTTCTGTAGCCAGGCAAATGAGTTAGTAGGGCCGGTGACTGGATGCTATAGGACAGACCTTTGTTAGAGTTCCAGTCTTGTCGGAACAGATCACAGAAACCGCACCCAATGTCTCGACCGTCTTCAAAGACTTGCACAGGATTTTGTTCTTGCTCATGAGATTGGCGGTAATGGTAAGGTTCGCAGTCAAGGCTATTGGTAAGCCTTCTGGAATAAAAGCAATCGCAACACTGACACAGTCGACGATCAGGGTTGGCACGTTAATCCAGCCGGGATGGTCGACTCGGAGCCATGTAGCCCTGTAGAGGTCAGCAGGTATGAATAGAAGTATCAGAAACCGCATACCAAACAATTATAACGATGATAATCATCGTGAGCATGATGAGAACGATCAACAGTACAAAGCGCAAGACTTCCTTCTCAAGGGTAGTCAGTCCTTTCTTGGGCTCGCTTGTCAACTTAGCAATCCGACCAAAGACAGTCGAGTCTCCCGTAGATACAACGACACCGACTGCACTTCCAGTAACGCAATGCGTACCCTGAAGTCCAATGCAGTGGGTTTCAAGGTAGTTATCATCCGTGGAATCGACAGTCCCGTTGACCGGCAGCGACTCGCCTAAACAACCCATTAGCTCCTGCTTCCAGCTCCTCAGACAATATCTTACCCGTCAAGATAGACCGGTCAAAGCACACGTCATTGGAGACCTCAACCAAGCGCACGTCTGCAGGTAGCTTGTTTCCCGCTTTAAGATGCACCACGTCTCCAGGGACAATATCCGGAGCAGATACTACCACCAGAGAGCTGTCACGGAGAACAAGACAGCTCTCGGGTAGCATTGCTGTGATTGAAGCCATGACCCTTGAGGACGACCAGTCTTGCCACGCGTTGAAACCTGCCTGAATGAAGAACACAGCCAGCAGGACAATGGCCAAGGCAAGGTTTGCCGGAGCGGGAGGCTGTCCCAAGGGCTTCCAAGAGATGAACACGAGTATACAGCCGATCAGTAGAATGCCCCCGAAGCCCTTGAAGAAATAGCCAAAGATCTGCCAGAACCATTGGTGTGGTAACGGAGACAGAGCGTTCTTTCCAAACTCACGAACCCGTTGCTGGACCTGATCGTGCGATAGGCCTTGAGAGATATCGACACGCCATCGCTTCTGTATTTCCTCGGGCGAAACCATGTGCCAGTCGAGATTGGACAGATCTAGAAACTTATCATCAGCAAGGAAGGCCCCGAAGGTATCAACAACTGAGTGGAGCTAGTACCGGTCGCGACATTGCTTTTAGTCTTTGCAGCCTCCGCTCGTTCACGGTCTCTCGCCTCATCGATATCAAATGAACTATCCAAATGATGTCAGAGCTCAATGAACGTTTATCAATACCGAGTGCAGCACTGACACTGTACGATAATGAATTGGCAACGAAAGGGAGGGGTCAACGGTCGCTCTTCGTGCGCGACTGCGAGCAGAGCTGTTGGATGCCACTGATGTCGTTCGCGAAAGCTGCAAAGGGTCTCTTCTGGCTGCTACGCCTTTCTCTTCGTCGCCTTCTTGCCAGCGGAGACGGGTCGCTTCGGCATTGAGTGACACGCCTGACTTCGCATCCATCTTGATGAAATAGAGGGGCTTAGTTCAGCCGGTTGAGGGGAAGACGACACCACGCGACGAAGATCAGAACAGAGCAGAATAGAACGCAAGAATATTTGGTGTGCGACAATCTGGAATCCCACTGTGCCCGCCAGCTTTTATAGTTAGAAGTGGAGGCTCGGACTGTCAACCACGCGCAAGGTCTGTGCGAATGCCATGCGAGCTTTGCCTCATGACAGATTGATAGAAACCCCAGGGCCGATGACACCTGCGGGTTTTACCAGAACCAGTGGTTGAGGAAATTTGGACCGGAGGATGGAGTGCGGTTGAGATCAGTGGCTTGGGTAAATCCCTCAAGCGTGTCAAAGACGGCGGACTACTGTTGGCACTAACCCTCACCCCTCAACCAGCCATAAAGTCCCTCACTCTGATCGCTTCTGGTAAGTCTAGCCTACACAATGTAGCTGCCTGTTAGATCATTTAATATGTTTCTGAGGGAAAAAACTGTGCAGTGAATAATAAAATCCTGTCATTCTTAGAAACCGACCACCCTTGGCCCAGAGAGATGATTCATTGTCTACAACACCAGGGCATGCAAAACATGAAACATCAAGCTGGTTGCTGCTGCTAGGGGTAGTATTATCATTTGCCAGTTCCACAGATTTTTTTGTTCTTTGTTCTCTAGAACTTGCGGCCTACTGCTCTGTTGCGGCAGTGGTAATGGAAGATAGTCCACTCGTGCAGTACGCGAGGTGATCGAAGTGAGCAGGCCAATTCCCGTCCCATGGAAGTGCGCAAGAAACACTTGATTTAGTTTGAGCACCCAGCTGGTTGCCGCTTCTATGCGAACCGCGCACTGCGAGATGAGAAAAAGACCCCTGGTTCTGCGCTTACGTGAATCTTCCCAAGCCTTCAACATTGGAGTGAGTCGATCTTCCGTATATAAAGGAGTGGACCCGCGGGCGAAGAAAACTAGATGGTTCGCCAGCGATGCGGCGGATTCAATGGCGCAATTGGCACCTTCTGCTATATTCGGTGCCATCTATACATCATTGTCAACTACCCTACCATGGCGCATTGAGGCGAATGAGAGTACCTTGTGTACCGCATCCCCTATCCCTACAAACCGGCCCCAGGACCATCTATTCTGGAATCCCTCTTCCAGTGACGCCACAACGCATGACTCCGAGCGGTTGAAGACTTCGCCAAACGTGACATCGCTGGTGACATGCTTCTTCGTAAACGGTTCGACGATCCTGGATACATAAGCGCGGTCGGAAGTATGGCGCGGGATTAATACTGGCATCATTGTGCGCGCAATCGACATGAACCAGCAGACTCTGGAGTCCGCTCCCACCATAATAACCGTTAACCAGCCATGTCCATAAGCCCGATGAACGTCTCCTCTATTCAGCTTAGGGATTGACTCAGCGATACCGAAAACACCAGCGAAGGAATCGGTCAAGGGGACCTCGGAAAACCAGCAAGGGCTGGCAACAGCCCCACTGGTATCACGGATATGATGCCACATATGCTCACGCACAATGCTATGAACACCGTCCGCACCAACCACCAGATCCCCTGAAACACTCATTCCATCCGCGCTGTAAACTGTAACATTATCCGGAGATGACACGATGCGAACGACTCGCCGATTGAAGAACAGCCGACTGCTCCGAAGGTGAGTATATAGAATACCTAGGAGTGCCCGCCGGGCGATAACGAGGACAGGATAATCAATTCTACACGCTGTCAGTCCACAATCACTTTCATAAACACAATCGCCGCATACCGTCCGAAAGATCGAATTCGTCCCGCATCAACTCGTCGCAAGAGGTGTCCGGTCTCAAGCCAAGTGCTGTGCGATACCATGCATTGACCTTGGTCCAGCACGTCTTGATACAGTCCCAACTGATCAAGAATCCGGGCGCCATTCGGAAGGATGGCAAGCCCAGCACCATCCGGGTATGTATCGGATCTCGCTTCGAGAATGGTGAACTCGATTTCGGTGTTGGACAAACAGTGGGCGAGAGTCAGGCCGGCGATTGAGGCACCCACAATGATAACGTGGAACGGCCGTTGACTGTTGGGTTTGGACATTGCCGCAATTCTGAGGAGGGCATGGTCTAGGAATTTTGCCAAATACCTAGAGGGTCATGACGAAGAAAGAATGGTTATAATAATAGTTGAGCATATTAGTGATAAGCGTAATCAGGTGGACATAGTAATATCCTTGGACTTGGGATCAGGAGCCCCAATGTTCCATATAAAGAGCTCTGCTGGAACATTATCAACTGGGACATTCAGTCTGGTCACAGGCCACGGAATGGCAGGTACGACCGGTAAACGGTCAGGTCGTGGCTACATCTGACCGCTTGTGCTACTCGGGTAGAAGCAGAGATGAAGGACGTAAGCTCAGACATCTGCACATGCTACGGTCAGTATGGCTCCCCACAGGATATATAAACCAACAGAGCCATGGTCCCTGACCTTTAAATATATCATCATGTCTGATCGCAATTCTCGCTGAAGATACGGATAATCCAGTAGGCTCTTCAGGACGTATGGTTTTTAGAGGCAACTCTACTTATCCGACAACGAGAAGTTGATGCCACAGCATTATCGTCCGAACACCAAACCAACGGTAGACAACCCCCTCAAGTAGCTTCAACCTTACAACCAAGTCCAAACCCAGGGGCATAGTTCGCATAACACGAAGCTGACACATCGCGCGTAGTTAGCCGACCATTAAGAAAGCACCAACAAGTAATATAAATTCTGACTCAGTTAAAGTTAGCTCACTAGTTATAGTTATTAGTGGTCATACGGGCTAAATTAACGTTAAACATCCATGTCAAACGAGTCCACATCACCCCTGTAGATAATAGTGTGGTGGTGGTGGTGGCTCGGGTAAGTGAGTTTAGTTAGTTAGCTGGTGGGGTGGGGGTGTAAGCCTAATGCTTTTAATATGTGTGAGAGAGTGTGTGTGAGTGACCGGGCTTACGGGAACTGCCAGCCCGCTGGGAAGACAATAGACAATATTTATTTAGTAAATACAGATACGTAGTAGTAGCGGTGGTACTCCGTAATGGACTCGTCTAATATGTTGATTGTTGAGGGCAAGTTGCAGCCGAGAGAGAGAGAGACGGTGCCTCGGCTATGCCGTGGATGCATTTCGGTGTAGAGATAAAATCACTCACTTGGTAGTGTAGTAGTTTTGCTGATTTGCATACATGTATACTGTGTACAGTTGTGCTTATCATTAATCAATAGATAAATAAGTAAACATAATGCATCTACGGTATGTACTCGTTCACAACTCTTAGGTAGATTAAGCAGTCTTCAGCGAAATTACCTTATAATTAAACACTGCAGAAAAAGTAGATTAAGGAGGGGAGGGGATGTACTCCGTAGAGTTGTCTGGGACGGACGGGACGGGGATCCATACTTACCATATCCACACCTTAATCAGTTTTACAACCCCGCGAACAAAAATCCATCAACAAGGCAGCGAGACGAGGGACCGACCCATTGGACTCTGGTCTCTTGGTGGATGGAAAAAGAGAAGAAGTGTTAACTAAATTGCTCCGACCCGGTCGCGGCTGTCAATCCCTCCCGGATTCGCACTGGAATCTGGTCCATCGCGGCGGGGCCGGGACTGGATCAGCTCCAGGTTCAAATGGCTAGACGGGGGTTCGACAACATCGCTAAAGGGAACGATGGGCCAATCACGGGCAGCAGCGACGGGGAACCTTAGGAATGTCAGATATCCGCCTTCTCCGTCTGTATGAGAGTGGAGCCCGAGAGATGGAGCCCGGTATGGTACTGTCACTCCCGTGACGATTCCCACTAACTAGGTGGACTAGACTGGGCAACCACTAATTGTATCTAAGCTAGAAGCCCGTGAGGGACAAGGCAACCCGGTTACACAGGCTGGATGCCATTGGCATCAAACACATGATCTGATGAATCCATATCGTGTGGATGATTTGTGGTCGAATAACTTATGTACCCATTGACAACTATGCAAACAAAAAGATGTGTGTTTTGAACAGCAAAGCAAAGAAGGGATAAAAGAAATCAAAGTCCAGACAAAACAAATGCCCCAACCAACTCCACGCGCTTTAATGACAGTCACGCTTGTAGATGAGATATGACCAATGATAAATGGCTAGAAAAAAATGCAACTTCAGGAAGAGACGGGGATGGAAACAAAACAAAGGAGTATCCCGGTGGTATCGTCGCTTATGTAGAATGAAAATTCAAGGGAATACAATCCAGTCACGCTAAAGGAGTGCGCCCGCTATGCTGTATGTCAGTCGCCACAGCTCATCTCCGGCGAAGACGATTAGCGCGGAAAGCCGTCAAGTCAATTGATTCCGCCGACTGCGCATCATCATCCACCTCAATGGTATCCATCTTCGTCAGAGATTGCCTGTCAACCTCAATGGTCGTGGCTGCGGGTGCCTCCTCGTCCTCGGCTGTTGGTTCCTCGGGCTGTTCTGCCTTCAGACGGCGGACTTCATCGGTAGCCAGGTCTAAGAGGCTTTTGAATTTGCCTTCTACACTGGTCAATTCCGTCGAGCAGTCTCCAGATCGGAGAAACTGGTATGCAGCCGTCTCACACACTCCGTGTACCAGTTCCAGCTGCTTCTCCGCGGTATCAAACGCAGACTCCTTGGGCATTTCCTGGGCGCGAGGCGCCGGCGGGCCCCGGTTGCGGGCTTTGCGGATGCTAGATAGTACATCGTCTTCGCCGGATTCGGAGGGTGAAAGTGAAGGAGCCAGGCTATTCATCCTTGCGCTTCTGTCCAGCATCTTGCTGCGGTACCCTGGCAATGGCAGTTGCGACATTCTGCCTTTCCGAATGTTGTTGCGAGCTGTCCCAATGTGGCGCACCATTTCTTCCAAAACGTGTTGTGTGTGGCCGTCATAGTGGATGATGAGGTTGTTGCGCGTACTCACGAGCGGGTTCCTTTCCCTGGCGTCCATGGAGGGCGCATCTTCAGCGCCACGTTTACGAGGGTTCACATTCGCTTGGTGTTGGGAGGTATTAGGCGTCGTGACAGTGGTATGTGTTTCCGCAGCAGAAGATTGTGGGCGGGTCTCCGTTTCGGGCGCCGACGAGCGCAGGTCTTCAGTTCGAATGGAGCAGACCGAGCTGTTCTTGCGACGGCGCGGTCTCACCGTAACATGTCTTCTGTAGGCCTCGGCGTATTCTGCGTGTTTCGCGGCGGTGTGGGCAGATAACTCTGCAAGTCGGTCGATCCAGGAGGGAATGTTTTCCGTAAGGTGGGTGAAGGCCCCCAGGGCGTCCATTTGAGCGGGCATAATGTGATTCAATAGAAAAGCAACATGTGCTTTGTAGGCCGGATTTGTACTTCTCCGGGCAGAAATTCAAGTGTGTGGATTAGTGGTCCACTAAGCCCACTTTAGAAGTTCAGCCGTCTCGGTCGCGAGCAAGGGAAATGTAATAAGAATTGATTTGGCGGCGGATTGGGTTATTGACAAGTAGCGAAATCGTTTCGTCGTGGAGTCGTGAACAGCCGATGGGCGGTGGTGGTGATGACAAAGGTGCAGGGATTCAGGAACCTACAACTGTTCCATGGATCGGGGACTGCGCACAAGAGCGGTGTCGAACTAGTGGGCGGGAGGAGGAAAATAAGATACCGGGGTAGAAGAAGGTAGAATGAACGATGGAAGGGTAGAGGTGACTGGCACTACGGGATTGAACCACGATCAGGAGGTGAAAAGAAGG